ATATAATATATATATATATATATATATATAGACACACACCAAATAAAATTTATGTTTTAAAACAACTAGGGATGTAACAATCATATATACAAGCAATGTTCAAGAATCATACAAACGATAACCTTAAATGTCAAAATTATCTTCGACTCCAAGCTAGGGCCTTCTAAGACTATATAAAAATAAGTTAGGCAATAAATTACATAGTGAGAATCCTCGGTGTAGACTAAATTAAAAACATACCATACTTATAACATATAATCAACCTCAAAGCCAAAAACAATAACTTAGGTTAAAAGTAGTTAGCTAAATAAAATTAATGATGAACTTAAACACAACAAGCAATTTAGATTGGCGATGGTTAGTCAACTCAAATCAATGAGTTCAATCTCATATTTTCCATGGTTAACGAGGACTTGTGCATGAATAAGTGTATCCTAAGCCCTCTCAACTTATAATTAGATGCTCTGTCACAAAAACACAACACGAGGGGTAGATATACATACATTAGCTTGACACTCTTGATGTCATTTATCATCTAATTTTAATGTATCTCTTTATAGCATGGTTTCGTGGATAAGACCTACTATTGATTTGACTGACTTGATCTTATACATATAATAATAATTAAAGTTTTAATTTTACATATACCATAAGGTGTATTTTAAAAATTTTCAAAATACTAGGTTTAGTATTAAAAATTAAATATTAAAAAAATAGATTTAAAATAAAACCAAATGATTTAAAAATTATCTATTAGTTAAACATTTAGTTAACTAAATTAAATCACATAAGGATTATCTAATTAAATTAATCGAACAATTTAATCCTAATCCTTCCCCTTAATTTTCGAAAATGTGTGTAACGATTATCCAATTTTATAATTATCCTATTTAATCAGATAAACTAATAATTACCAAAAAATAAGAAAACTTTATCTGTTGATACATATTTTTGAAAATAGTAGTTTTAGGAGGTAGGTAAGTATATCAATCCTTACCTTATATTTCGAAATCTTGAGGGGCAAGAAACCCTTGCCAAACTCGAAAACTTGGGAGCCAAGGTAAGGGTTTCATCCCTTACCAAAGTTTCGAAACTTAGGGTCTCAGAAACCCTAATTTCAAAATCCTTAGCCTAAAGGGTTTGATTTCCATAAACCCAAATTTGATAGATTCAAAAATTATAATCATTCAATAGAAAACAAACTTAACGCTTTGATACCACTTATGGGTTTTAGACATTACAAAAAAAAACTTCAAACTTTAAGTGTGCATGTAACCTAAAACAAAAGATCTATGTTTTCAGTATTGAACTTATAACTATGAACATAAAAAAGAACCCTAGGTATTTTCTAAATCTAGAAATAGAGAAGAAAGACATACATTTTGATCATTTGGAAAAAAGCAACACAATTGTCGTGTCTCTCGTGGATAATACCCAAGCTAGAAATGAAGATGTTGTGGAGAAAGGGGGAGGAAAATTCGGGATCTCTCTGTGATTACAAGTAACCGAAATTTCTAAGGCATAAGACCCTTTATATAATGCAACAACAAAACCCTACATAAGCCCCAAACCAATAAAATAACATTATCTTATTTTTGGTAGTTATCTAGCTTTCTAATTATCCTTAAAAGATAACTCTAGAGCCTCAATAACCTACTCAAAATTGTCCACCCCTATCGTGGAAGGTTTTGGAGCCTTTTGTTTAACTATTTAATAATTACACTCTAGTCCCTGCACTTTTAGTTAATTCCGTTAATCCCAAAATTAATTCCAATTAATTTCTGATTAATTATTAATTAAATATTAGTATTTCAAATTAATATATTATTCACATAATATATTAATAAATTATTTATTTTCAATTTATTAATCAAATAATAAATCAATCTCTCTCTCCAAAATCATTATGTCCAATTACTAGGTTTGAGGGCAACCTAAAAAGACAAAGTTTATATCAATTATAGTTAAGGGCTTAGACATCTAATCCCACCTAAACATCTTTTCTTTAAATGTGCTCTTAAGCATTTCTGCTTCAGTAACTATCAACATTTGGGTTGGATCAGTTAGCTTCATGTTGATATTCTTCATATAAAATTTCTCATTGAACTGATCATACGAGTTTAGAAGTGAGAGAAGAACCTAGTCATTGGCTTCCACCCTTGATAAAAACGACAACCAATCTATCTAACTTGTCAATGCAAGATTTCATTTTCCGAACATGCGTACACATAAAGTGTTTATCTTGATGTCTACATGACAAAAAGGATTGAGTAGTCTCGTATCTTTCAACTTGAGAAAATGTGACATTAGGAGAGTCACAAATGGAGGAGACATGAAGAGAGATGATATCTAGTTCCATCATTTCCTAAGGAAAGGAAAACAATTTTACCTTGACTTGAAATTGAAAGACCATCTCTAGAGTATTGAGGAAAACTATTTACATAGAAATGAAGAATACTTTTTCTATCTTTATAAGACATTAAAAATAGGAGAAAAGAGAATTCAAGTTAGTTGATTTTAATTCTTAATTATTAAGCCACATTTTAAATTAACGATATGATCCATATTTTCAATTCGAACTTTGAAAACTGATGTCGTAGTCAAATTCGAATCTATTTTAGGTAAGTAAGACTTTTACTAATTCCAATCTTATGAAACTTCTTGATCTTTTGAGATTCACTGAATCGTATCAATGACATGTTAATCTCAGATCATGCTCTTACTTTTGTGACACGGATGCAGACGATCATAAATAAGATGTGAATAATCATGTAAACCGGCTCGACAACATCGTTGTCATTTATCATCTCACATTGATGTGTTCGTCAATCACACATGCCCATCAACAATGATAATTTTCGAGATGCCCATCAAATCTATTTATAGTCCGTATTAGTGTATCGGTTAACCACACACACTCTACTAACGACATATAAAGCATGATGTGCATTTTCATGGATTAGCATACCTTTGACATTTTTTATAAAGTAACTAAGGGTTGGATTTTTAAAAATGATTTAGTTACTTTGTTACTTTATGTCATTATACTTATTAGTGAGATTATGTCCTATCAAATCCGTTCAACTAACGATCCTCCACCATACAATAGAGCGGTGGGTAAGAGTAGATACCCTATTCTTACGAATCAATTTAAAACCAGCCCAATTTCTAATTTATAGCCACCCTATTTCTACAAAAAAAATCACAAACAACCCTAGTTTTGCAAAAAAAAAAATAATAAATAAATAAATAAAATAAATAAATAAATAAATAAATAAAATATATAAATAAATAAAATTACGATCATGAAGTTGACTGGATTTAATGTTTTCTGACGGATGTTTAGATGAACTTGGAGTCTGTAACTTTTGAATGTGGGATTCATGTTTTTTAGTGATGTTATTTAAGTCAACTTAGGGATGAGTGTTGAAGAAAAAGCGCAGGTAGGAGGATTTGGTTTAGGGTATAAGTTTCTAACCCATATTTAGATTTCAAAACAAGGGCATATACAAACTTGGTGGAATGATTTTCCTACCCTACGGGTTCCTTAAAAGACTTTTTGGGGGTAAACTCTATTTTAAAAGTTGGATGTAGGTCTTTAAACACCTTAGAAGCAAAATCAAAACCATTCTTATGGACTATATGGAAATATAGGAACGACGTGATCTTCACACCAAGACTATGGACAAGAGTCTGTTAGCTTTAGCCTATGATGTCAATGCTTTTACCTTTTTTATGGATTAAGAGTAGAAAGAAATCGGGTAGAAATTTGATTTGGAACTCTAGGGTTGAAACCCCATTGTATTGTACCATGTAATTCCAACTTCTTGTTTTTTTAATTGAAGTCTATCATTTCAAAAAAAGATTTCAGAACAAGGGATTAGTTTTAAGCACATTAACATCAATTCAACATGTGAAACAAGATTCAACATCCATTTGCATATATCAAAATACTGTTGGATTTGAAGGTTTATGTATCTGACAAGTTAACATATAGGTTACGAAGAAGATGATTGTAGTAACTTGAACTCATATTAGATGTTCCAATGATGACCCGTATGTTTATTTTTCTTTATATGGTTACATGTATGTAAGTATAAATAGGAAGCCTCATCAAATACTCCAAAAGAAAAGGATATGTCCTTAAGAAATGATTATTACGTAAACTAAAAAAAATCAACACAAGAAATTAAAACCAAATAAATTTATGGTGGAAGTATTAGCAAAGAAGAAAGCATGGAATATTCATTATTTAGAAGCTTCAAGAGGTACATGAAAAAACGAAACGCACATGCACAACAAAGGTGCTTATTCTACTTGTAACTTTGTGTGCGACCTTATTTTTATAGTCTCACATCGAAGAAACAAGATACGATATTAAAACATATAAAATACATATAAGTACCACATTTAGAATCAGGCCCGGTTTTAAGGGGGCAATAGGTGCAGCCGCACAGGATGCCGAAAAAAATATGGTCCGATTTTTCATTAAATTATATATTTAATAATTAAATACATATTAATTTATTCAAGTGTTTGCATAAATCCTGTTTAGCTCAATTGGCATAAGCACGTCCGCATCCTCTTCATTTCAAAGAGGACGTACACGTTCTATTTTGACTCATGTCAACATCATTTTGCTTTTTTTCTTTTTAATTCAATTTATAGTTTTGGCCCTTATTTTATAATATATAATTCATAATCAACCATTCCTTTAACATTTTTCAAAAGTTACACAATTAACCCTTGAGCTTTTTATAAAATTCCATATATTCATTTTTAATTAATTTGTTTACTTTTAAGTTTTCGTAATGACAGTTCACTGTCTTAAGTTTATTTATCTTATATATTAAAAAATTATATTTAGGGCCTCATTTTTCTTCTTAGCACAGACTCTTAAAATCTCTGAGTCGGCCTTGTTTAGAATACATTTAACATTTGTTTACATGCATCAAACACAACATGCATGCATGCATGCATGCTGCTGTATATATATCATCTTACGGCTGAAGAATAACACCCAAAGAGTCCAAGTAATCCCCGTACTTTGCATAGAACCCCGAAAACTTACCGCTTGAGACCCCAAGCGAAAAGTCAGTCCCCGGGTTTGTGCCGTATGGCCCATAAGTTCTTAAGTTGGTCTGGAAAGTCAGTGATGTAACCAAGGTGATGCTAGCATATGATCCAACACGTCCACTAATTGTGATGAGGTACTCGTTTTCATTGAAGGTGATCTGGAACCGAGATATAAACATGATGACTGCTATATTATAAAATAAGAGCCCAACTTCGATATGTGCATGTATACATGACAGATGAATTCAAAGCGCGCTTACCTTATGAAATGAGCCACCGGCCTCGCTACCGAATGTTTCAGAATGGTCTGTGCCAGATTGATCCTTGTAAGTGAAGCGGACGAAATCTATAGCTTCTCCACTCCTAATGTCAATATTGGTAAGACGAGCACCATCAGGTATTATGAATTCCCCCGATTCATTTCCAGCCTTACCTCCCCAAGGTGCGATCCATACGGTCCTGCTTGCCTGCATATATATATATATATATATATATATATATATATATATATATATATATATATATATATATATATATATATATATATATATTGGTAGGAAGGTAATAAGTTTTTTTTCTACATTTTTTTTGCGAACAAACAAAATGAATCATTAGATTATTATTTGTAAGATGATTCACAAGAAAAAATTCTCAAAAAAACATCTCGATGATTCATTTATACAATGAATTTGTTGTTAATCACTAAAATTATCATAAAAACGATTTTTTTCTTAATTTACTTAAAAATGAATCATAAATATGTTTTTTTGAAAAATTTTTCTTTTGAATCATCTTACAAATGAATCATCTAGTGATTCATTTATTTTGTTCATCAAAAAAATATGTAGAAAATAAACTTATTACCTTCCAACAAAAAAAAATTCTTACCGGATCTATATATATATATATATATATATATATATATATATATATATATATATATATATATATATATATATAATAGAATATTACTAAAAGAGTTGAAAGAACTTTAGCATTGACGAAAGATGTAAGCCTTATAATCCTATATAAACGTGACATTTACAAATATATATGGTAAAAGTGTTGGATAATTATGGGACCACTTCATAAATATGTACGATATATTATTAAATCCAGCTATTACGGTAAGAGTATAAATTGTTGATGGACCGATTTATAGAATATTTATTTACCTTGTGGGTTGAGTTCCCGGTTTGACTCAAGATCCTCAAGATCCCTTTCATCTCTCACATTAGGGTTTATCTCCATCTATAAATATATGTGATGAGGAGCAATCAAGACACATGAAAATACACATGTAATTCGTTTAGGGTTTGCTGAGGGATTTTAGAGAGAGCTCTTGAGATCAACTTGAAAACTCCAACCCTAGTTCTTCAAATCCGAAGATTATAATTGAAATCAGGTATGTAATCATTATTTCAAGTTTAAGTTTTCTTTTAATTAGATCCGAGGTTAAAGATCCAAACTTATGCTTCCGCGTTTATGTTTTGGTTATATGAAAATATCCAACAATTGGTATCAGAGCCAACTCGAATCTTTTATTAGAAACTTGGATTGGTTTTAGTTCTTTTGATTTTTCGAACTAAAACATACCTTTAAGATATATGTTGTTTTACTCTTTTCCATCCTACCGACATTTTATTTCTTAAAATCAGAGAGCATAATATGTGGTGATTTTTTTGGGTTTGGTTGATCTTTGAACTCTTTGGGTTTCCTTTTGGCTTTATTGAAGCATCAACGACTAGTAATATTAATTTTTTACTTGCATCGTTGACTTTTGCAACAAATATATATAATTGCAATGTTTTAGTTTATGATTGAATGGTTAACAATCATAAAATAGTAATAATAATAATTGCAATTTTTTTGTTTATTGTTATCTTTAAATCGTGGCTTCGGTTTTAAGAAAGGTTTATATATGGAATTAATTGATCCAATAACAAGTCAAGATTTAATAATTTGGATTTGATTTTGTAATAGACTATAAAAGGTGAAGATTTATTAATTTGGTCTAATTTCGGATGATCGATTGTATTGAAGGATTTATTGTTCGAATAAATAATGATTTAATAATTTTTTCAGACAATCTAACTTTATGTATAATAAAGTAAATTTGGAAGTTATTTCTTTTAACCCCATATATTTTGATTCCACCTTACTGTGATTTCTTTTTTGGTATTTTATTGGGTAAATTACACCAATCGTCCCTCGTGAATATGCCAAAAAGCACGTTTAGTCCCTATTTTCAAAAATTAACTCGGACCGTCCCTCGTTTGCTTAAACCTTGCACGTTTTGTCCCTTAAATGCATTTTTGTTGCAAATGTAGTCCACGCCCCACTTGAAATGACTATATTGCCCTTGGATATTTATTTTTTAATTAATCTAATATTATTTATTATTATTTATAACTTATTAAAAAAAAAACACTCTCTGTAATCTCTATCTCTCTCAATTACGTTGCAAAATACCACAACCACCTCTGATGAATAGACAAAGTCGATGAAAATGACCCTTCTTTGTCCTTCTCAAATCCATAAATTGAAACTAATGAAGGTTTCAATTTTGATTTTGAGTTTTCAGGTTATGTTTGATATAATTTCAATGGATTTGTCTTGGACCTGATTTCAATTACAGTGAGATGTCATAAAATCGTGATATATTGAAATTGGTAGCCTCGATGGTGGTTGGTATTCTTAAGACAGAAAGGGGAGAATGAAGATACAGGATGGTGGTTTGGGATCTGATTTTGGTTCACCAGTTTGGGGTTTTGGTTGGTTGTCGGGAATGGGTGAGAAGAGGGAGACGAAAGTAGAAGAATATTGGGGAAAGGGAAGGGAAATGTGTTTGCGGTGACATGTGGTTGTGCCAGAGGAGTTGGTGCTGACGCAGATATGTGGTGGTGCCGGAAGAGCTGCAGGTTTCTGGCGGCAGTGACGACTCCAACGAGGGATTAAGGTGTAGACCGATGGCCTCATCGGTGGCTTCTAGTCCGCCAGCAGTAACAGAACCCTGGATTATCTCAAACCAATCTTCTCCTGTCCCGATCTCCACACCCTCATGATCCGATCATTGCATCACAACCAAAGCTTGGTCGGTTGCGATGGTAGCTTAGTTACTTCACCGTAAAATCGAACTTGTTGAATGACTAAGTCACCTGATTTTGATGTCATTCTCCGGCGATCGGAAAGAAAGTAAGAGAGAGTAGATGTGGTTGGTGTCGCTGGAAAAAAGAGGAGGAGCTGGTAGAGCTGTTTAGGTGGTTGTCGAGAGTGAGTGAGACAAAGGGAAGGAAACCGGGGAAAAGGGAAGGGGAATGATGGGTCAGTGCATATTTATTTTATTTTTTTTTTAATCTAAAATTAATAAATAAAAATTAAAAAAGAAATTATTAAGGGCAAAATCGTCTTTTTATGTATGGAGGGATGAGGTGTGCAACTTTTAACCAAACAAGGGACTGTCCGAGTTAATTTTTGAAAATAGGGATTAAACGTGTTTTCTGGCACATGCACGAGGGACGATTGGTGTAATTTACCCTATTTTATTTTTTATTAAATAAACTAATAGATTTCTTTTATTGGTTTATATAAGGAATTGATATTGTATTAAACCACTGCATTTCAAATTGTGGGGATTAAATAATTTTGGGTTTCAAATTGTCGGGATTAAATAATTTTGGGTTGACAATGAAATTGAATTTCATTTTGAGTATAAAATAAGATGAACTTCAATTTTTTTTTTTTTTTGATTTTCGTTTGCAAATTAATTTAAGTCTCGCAAACGTTGTATGGAACCATTTTATTAAATTGGTTATTTTAATATGGTCAACGTGTTTGATAATGTTTTTCATTATATTATCAAATTTTGGTTTCATGAAAATATGCGATAACGTTTGTGGAAAATTTTAATTGTATTTTGGGTTATTGATAAATTTTATTTATGACATATTATTTATTTTAAGGATAAATTAATTGACACAATATATCGCAAAAGCGATCTCTTTTGTGAAAATTAATTTACAAAGAACTTAAATTTTATGGTTTGTGTTTATTAATGCGAATATTAATCGACCTAAAGGTGGGTTAATATTTGGCCGGATGAACACATGTTTGATGATAAATATGCGATAATTTTTTAGGTTACATGTCATTAATAAGTCAATCCAAAGAGGAACTTATTAAATGACATGATATATTGTCAATTCTTATTATCAAAGTATATAGTTTATGTGTTTATTAATGCGGGTATTAGCCGACCCAAAGGTAGACTAATATTTGGCCGAATAAACATATATGTGGTGATAAACATGTGGCGATTTTTTGGTTCCATGTAATTACTAAGTCAATCCAAAGAAGGGCTTGTTAATTGACATGATTTATTGTCAATGTTTATCTCTAAAATAAGGTTATCTCATACAAGTTAGTATTACTGTCCAAAGACTTGATATTAATGTTGTGTTGATACCTTATAAAGATGTCATAAATTGAATTTATTGATTACGGTTTATGGATTAATGAGCATAAAAATAGAGTTGCTTATGTTTGAATTATGGTATTATAATTGTTAACATTGATCACATTTATGAGTCATGTACTCAATGAGATTAACTTTAAGGAATGGAATGAGGGCATTATGTTAGTTCTCAATTGCGTGGATATTGATCATTCATTTTGGATAGAGCAACATTCTTTGAGGATGTTGAGTTTGGGGGAGAAACAAGGTTAAAACATTGTCCTTAAGGAGGAATCAATCTTGATTCCTATTATTGTTTTCGATAGTATGCAAATTATGAATCAGTGATCGACAATGTTTTTCAATCTCCTATTTTGAAAACACAAACTCAACAACCTCAACTTTGGATATCCTATGCGTGGTACCATATTTCATCAATTTATTATCTCTTTTGGTTTTGGGGTAAATACAGTAAATGATATTGTGTATCACATATTAAGTGGGAGTAAATGTATCTTTCTAGTTTTGGGTCGATATCTATGCAACCCAAGTTTGGATCGTAGCCAAATGAATTTTGAGATATATATATATATATATATATATATTATATATATATATATATATATATATATATATATATAACAAAAGGCTATATGCTCAACTATAGGAAATCGGATATTTTGGAGATCATTTTTATTAGATGCCAAAATGGTTACTGATCCATATCAGGACACTTTTACATTTTAGCATGATAAACCATTTCATGGAATAGACTTCAGTAGCTTCTTCCATAATGACATCATAATTTATAGCATGGAATATGGTTGCGAAAATTTGTCACGAGGCTACACATTATTGGTATTGAAAGACCATTAAAGTTGTGATAATAAGTCAGCAATGTTATATTCCAACAACAGAAGTTTTATTAAGTCAAAGCATATTGACATCAAGTTTCCTTCTGTTAACACAATAGTGCAAAATGGTAATATATATAGCACATATGAACAAACTCCATGAAAG